CTGAACTCAGCAGATTCACAAAAAGCAACACAGGACCACAACATGTCTGGCAAAGCTCTACATCAGAACCCCATAACATACCTCACTTCTTATGTTTGTGCCTTTTGGTAAAAGCCACTGTTCTACTCACTATGCTTGAGCACAGCAAGGAAGTGGAGGGGAAAAAAAAAAGCAGGACAGAACTCAGAGTGGTCCTACTTCAATCTGCAAAGAAATCTTCTTTTAATATAGCTTGTTCTTTGTTTTCTGCCTTCAAACAGCCCTAAAGGGAGAGTCGTGCTGTGCCAAATTTTACAAAAGCACTGCAAGCCACAGTCATGTAGAACAATAACAGCAGCAAGAATACAGGACCTAGGTAAGATGTGTCAAAAAGAGCACACCATATAGCAAAGGTTAAGAGGTTAACCAGCAGCAAGAAGTGTGAGGAAGAGTATAAAACAGGGACAGCCAACTGGGTTCATCTGCTCAATCTCATCTGCAGAAATCACTGTCATGAAAGTAACACTTTCTCCCACTACTGCTGCTTTGAACCTTTGCACTAGCTTCTCTCTACCATCAAAGCATCACTGTCCACTTACTCCCCTCTTCACAGTTTTCATTATATTAGGTGTAGATATATACACCTCATATAATGGAAGGAAAACCAACTCAACAGTATTAACCTGCTTCCCATTGTTTCCCTTCCCTTCTAAAAGCATGCTTTTTCAAAAAAATGCCAAATAAGACAGTTTTAGGAAGCTAAGTTAATGCTAACAAACTTAACCTCAGCTGAAGCTGTTTGAACTGCATTCTCTGTATTTCATTACATTTTAAACTCCTAGTGGTATAAAAAAAAGTATATAAATTTTAAGTGCTCTGCATATTTTCAGCACTTTGGAGGCACTTCAGTTGCTTTCCAGCAATTTGCTGGAAAATTAAAGAAAGGCAGTAGAGGCCAAGGGAAGAGGAAGAAAACAGAAGAACAAACACATCCCTTTGGCTTTCAGGATACAAGACTAAACTCTAAATAGAGGAGAAAAAATAAATCAGTTTTCAATCCAGGAAAAACTGAGCTTTCTGATGAAGTCTGACATGCTAAAGAAAACCATCACTTTAGTCTTAAATCCTAGCATTTTCTCCTTTCTCTATGCTTGTCTAAATCTGTCATACTTCCAAAAAGAAAACCACACACAAAGAGGTGCTTCATTTTGTGCATTATAAAGGATGGGAAAAAAGCAGAAGTTACGGAAAAGGTAATCATTATTTCAGTCCAGCAAAGAAATGTGCTCACAGTTTGTCACTGCTGCCCATCAGTTTGATTAAAAAAGATGAAACAATCCAGTATTTACACTGTCTTACAACACTGGATTTTAGCAAAGCTTACAAATTCCAAACAAAAAAATAAAGCAATAAATATCTGCAGATAAGGGAATATTTATAAATACTTCATAAACAAAATATAAATATTTACAAGTGTAAAATGGGAGGTATTTAATACCACTTAAACCATGACTTTGCAAACGCTATCAACAAGAAAAGCTTTAGCATTATTCTGTTACCAAATATAACTGGAGATAAACTACCAGTGCCACATTTCAGCTAGAAATACTTACATTGTGATAATTGATCATTTCCTGTAAGGTGTCAGAGAACTTTGTCAAGCTAGTCTGTAAAGAGAAAAACAAAGTGGTTTAAGTTAAGCCCTACCAAACACACAGCACGAAAGCAACATTTCAGAGGTTTACAGCTTTTCAGTAAAGAACTTGGGAACTGATTTTCCTTAGGATGACTATTAAACTAAGACCATTATGCTAGAAGGAGAACATGACGTAAATCTGTTAAAGCAACAAAAATGTTACTGCTACCTACCTATATATAAAGGACCAAACTAAAGCAAAGCAGGAAAAATTCGAATTAAGTTGACTAAACTACAGGAATTTCACATAATTTAAATACATTAGTTTACAATATTTAAACTACTTAACATTTGTTAACGTTTAATACTCTAACTCCAAAAAACAGGTTAACGTTGTAATCATCAGTACACACACATTTACTATAGGAACTACTGCCTCACAGCTGATATGCTTAGCAACATCAGCATCAATCTGTAGAATCAATGTCTCAAAGACAGAAAACAATGATCCCTAATATATTTGCATAATTGCTTACACAACAAGTGTAACAAAAAACTACTTGGAATCTAATAATGTAAGTTTTCCTAGTTTGCCATCGCACTACATTTCTAGCAAGTTAATTTCCAGACAACAGTTTCAGTTGCACATAGGCTATATTGAAGTTCACAGGCATTATCTATTTCAACTAGTGTGCAAAGATGCATATATGCAATTGATGTTATATTACATAACACGCATTAAATATAGACGATATGCAGAGATGTGCACATAATTTTACCTGCATATTACACCATTTCATACCTCATTTCAAAGTAACATAGACAGGAAATATTAGGTGTTCCAAATTAGCCTAACAAGATCTCGGGCTCAGGTTACACCGTTAAAGTGGGCTCTGTACATTTGAAAATTCAAAGTCCTATGTATTAGAGAGTGCCAGTTCCAGGACCCAAGAGATCAACTCAGGGAATTTAGTTGCAGAGAACCTGCTGTTTGGATCTCATGACTAGAACCCCCTTTACTTAGCAAAGTAAACAGGGCAGCTCTTCATAGCTTCAACCTGACTTTCTCCACTCCTCTCAAGATGACTATTCCTAACCTAATACGTATTTTCTGGAACTTGGAAAACCTTTGCTTCAACTACTACTTGCAACTACTTCCCTTGCCAACTGTTACATTTTATCCTTTATAAGTCATGCTTTTCTCCTTCCATTTTCACCTCAAAGAACTTACCTCAACCAACACATCTCTACAGGAATATTGTGCAAGGTCTCGAATTCCATTCATGAACTGCTTGTTGGCTGTACAGAATGCTTTCCCAGTATCAATCATTGAAATGCAAAGCTTCACCAGCTAAGAAGAGGAAAAAATGACAAAGTGGCAGTTTTTTGTGTGCGTTTTTTTTTTTTTTTAAATACTACCATATAAACATGAAACACCCTGAGCTTACTTAAGTCTAAGACACAAAGATTTCAAAAGTTAAATGCTAAATTTAGAGGCCCATATTCCATGAAAAGCTTTCTATTGCATAGTGATAGCTATAAAAATACCACTCTAGGTCAACAGACATGCCATTGAAAAGGTTACTACTCTTTATAAATTTTTTAAAATTATTTTTGTTTTATTGTTAACTGAGATTTTGCACATATTTCGAGAGAGGGCTGTATGAGGGCAAAAAGCCCAGCAATTAAAACATAATTGGTTAGAATCCAAGCAAATTGTAAGTGTTTTGTGGTTTCTGAGCCAAAAAGTCCCAAAAGAAACCCACACTGATGGTTTCATCCTGAGACGCTCAGAATACAAGCGCAGGAAAGCAAAAGGCTATCTGCACAAAGCACAACTGAAGAGAGATGGTTACATCCCAGAAGGCGAAATCAATCATGTTTTCACTCATACAACAGACTAGTCTTTCTCTGATGGGTTTCCATCCCTACCACTGACTGCTTAGGTCAGCACCTTAGCTATCACGGTACTGCAGAGTCTGGTATGAAGGCCATCAGTATCTTGTGATGGATATTTTCCCACTTTTTGAACCATTTATGCACTGGGACATTAATGAATGAAGGAATGATTAGTGCGATCACTAAGATGCTCTCTTGAGAGAAGTGTCATGGTTTAACCTGGCAGGCAGCTGAACACCACACAGCTGTTTGCTCACTGTCGTCCATCCCCCCACCCCAGTGGGCTGGGGGAGAGAATCAGTGGAAAAAAAGTAAAAGTAAGATTTGTCGGTTGAGATAAAGACAGTTTAATAGGACAGAAAAGGAAGAGATAATAATAATAAAAAAGTACACAAAATAAGTGATGCACGATGCAATTGCCCACCCCCCGCTGCCTGATGCCCAGCCAGTTCCCAAGCCCCCAGGCCAGCTTTCCCCCAGTTTATATACTGAGCATGACATCATACGGTATGGAATATCCCTTTGGCCAGTTTGGGTCAGCTGTCCCGACTGTGCCCCTCCCAGCTTCTTGTGCATCTCCAGCCTTCTCAGTCAGTAGAGCATGGGAAGCTGAAAAGTCCTTGACTAGTGTAAGCACTACTTAGCAACAACTAAAACATGAGTTATCAACATTATTCTCATACTAAATCCAAAACACAGCACTATACCAGCTACTAGAAAGAAAATTAGCTCTACCCCAGCTGAAACCAGGAAAAGAAGGCATATTATAATCGAGTTCCCCCACCCTAAACCAAACCGAGAATAAAATCAGAAGATTGAACCTTCATCTCTGAAGGATTTTTCAAGGATGTTAGACAAATTTTCATGAAGAACATAATAAAAATATTTGATCCTATGTTACAGCAAGGAAACCACCCAAGTGACCTTCCTGCCTTATTTACCCAGTCATTTTTATGTTGGCTCAGATCCTTTTAGAAAAAAAAAAAAAAAAAAGAAATCCGAGTATCATCTCCCACATTCTGATGAATGGCCAAGTTGCTTGAACAACGGACAGAAAAATCACTACCAACATGACCCTTTTTTTCTTCCACTTTTGCTTATGGTTCACAATCCTGAACCCAGCGCTGTTTCTTCCAGAGGAGAAAAAAATGCAGATAACGTAGCCCAAAGTGACAGTTGTGGGACAATAAAACTAAATTTAGTATGAATAACTGAGCAGAACAAGTTACCAACCAAGCCTAGACAAATCATTACCCTCAGGCCATAGTTACTTCAGTTCACACAAGCAGCTTGGCTTTCAACTTAAGCATTATACTAGATCACTTACACTTCACATTACAATGGGTTTAAGTACTAGGATACTGTCTCAGGGCAAAGTGTAATACTACAATTATAGGTTTTACATGACAGAATGGTATATTTGGCACTGGCCTCCTGCAAGAGGCTGGGGGCAAGGCCCTGAATAATGCCCCTTAAGGGATTTGAAAATTCTTTTCCCCAGAAATGACCCTTTTAGACTGGTGGAAAACACAAACTTCCAAGACACATTTTTCAGATCCTTTAAATACTTAGATGGTTTAATCTACCAAAACAGATTTATCACCTCTACAGTAAAAACGTGTCTTATACCCATCAGTTTCACCAAAATTCACACCAAATCAAAATTAAGTACCTTAAATTTATTTTGAAAGAGCAAATGATTACGTTATTAACTACAAAAGCTAGAAATATTATTACAAGAAGCAACAAAAAGTCTTCAGACTTAATACTACACTTGACACTGACTTTATTTGTGTCTATCTTTCTGCAGCCAACTCGCAGCTGCAGGAACAAAAGTTCATATTCAAAAAGTAGCTAAGGAGGTGAACAAATGATCTGCCTGCCACATTAAAATACAGGCAAAAAAATATCTAAATATTCAGCATAAAATGCTAAGGAAAGGAGACTTTCTACAGATGTAAAACAAAAATAAGCCACCCTCAAAATACTAGCAAAGAAAGAAAAAAAGCCTCCAAATACTACTGGTCAGGAAACCAATAAATGGCTTGCAAGACACTGAAAAGATGCTACATATAACCTTTTACGTACATGCGTGAAGCATGACAAAAAGGAAGATGAATTTTACAGTAGTTAAGTCCTCCAGACGAAAGTGAAGGATATATATACCTATCCTGCTGCGACTGTGCCGCAGACTACCAAAGACAGAAAACATGGACTTTAAATCTCTACAAAGAGTATCCAGATGTCCTCACAGTGTGCAGTTGTCATAAATCATAAGCTCTCAATGCAGGGATGGCCAACCCCTGGCTTTTAACTCACAGGAAAGCTGAATTACTCTGCATGCGGCCCCCGCTGTGGGGCTGAGTCACATGAGTGCAAGGGGGCCACAGGGGCAGGAGGGCACTGCACAATCCAAACCCTCGGCTGGGGGAGAGAGCGAGTTCACACTGGCGGCTGCTGCTGCTGTTACTCAGGCTTGGGTCTCTGGGGCCCAGCTGCGCACTCGACCCAGATCCGTTCCCTCTCCAAGAGCAGAACACTTGTTCGGCGGCCACTGCCGCTTCCCAGCTATGAACTTTAAAACAAAGCCTAAACACATCTTTTTACACTTTTCAGAACATACATTGTTGAATTAAAAAGCTTACCTTGTCAAGTTTCAGTTCCAGTTCTGTCACATCTCCTTCTACTTCTTCTAAAGCTGCCCTGCATGGTTAAAAAAAGTTTTCCTGTAAAACTTTACACAAAAATACTCTGGGACAGGGGGGAAGGGGCAGGGACATGTTAATTTAACCCATCTGTAGCCACCACAGATCCACTTGAATTTCAACTATAAAACAGCATGGATTTTAGAGAATCACAAGAATTGCAGAAAATTTGACAGTAAAAAGAAGAAAAACTACATCACTGATAAAACATATAGCTTAGTAAAAGATTTGAGATGAAATTTTATTAATCCTAATGTTTGTCACATTGAAACAGGTTTCCTCTATTCTTGTATAGACAGTAGTCTCTATGTTTGAAGGTAATAACAAAGGAAAGAAACTCAGTCTGAGTGAAATTTCTTAGTCAATTCTTTTGGTGACTCTCCTGGCTCAAACCTGCAAACCTACAAACTCATAGCTATGTAATGAATGACCTTGCAATGAGATTATGAAAAATAGCGCATTTGTCATGAGTCAACTGACTTAGCAGTAAGTTCAGATGGCACACTTGTTTCTATCATTTGCCTCTAGTCTAGACTGGTTGCAACTTTCAGCTCAGTCAAATTTTACCTGCCAGTAAAAGTTGCTTTCATGAAGCATTTCTAAAGCATAACTTTTTTTGCTTGAGAGCTGATGCCTCCTTTGACACATCCTTCCTTGCTTATTGCTACCTGAAAAAATAGGAGAAGACCGAGAAAGGATGACACTTTGTTCAGAGAGTTCATGAACATTGCTGTTTCATCAGGCTATTGCCTTGAGAGCTTGAATGTACTAATTTTTGGCAACGAATGCTACACTACAAAAATCTATTCAGCAAGGCTGGGATTTCATATTACACAGAGGTTGGTAGGAACAGCTGTATTCCCATCCCTTGCTCCCACCACAGGGTGCCTCATTCTTTCGGCCATTCCAGCGTAACTGTTCACGGAGCCACACTGTTCACCCGTAGTATTGCGCCTTGGGGAAAAAAAAAAGTATAATAGGAAGTTTTCTGTAATGCTTTTTGGAAATTTGGATCAGATACATTTGACATTGCACTCCTACAAAAAAAACTCTTCCTGGAAAAAGTGAGACAGGCAAGGAAGTACGATTTGGAACAGGAATTTCTTAAGCCAGCTTTACCACTGAGGAGAGAGCACACAGAACCACAGCTTTACTGTCTCTTGCTAATTCCCTTCTAGTTCACATGAGTTCAAGCCAAGAACAAAAAAAAAAAAAAAAAGACTGGATCAGGCTCCAAACTGAGGAAAAGCAGTTTTTACAAGAATAGTTCTGAAAAACACTGCCAATTGCCTGCAGTTCTCAAACATTGAGCATGACATTCCCAGCTTTTTGCGGATTTCGCTAACACAGTTGCATTCCACTTTTTGTATCTAAAGGCATTCCCACAGTTACATCCTAGGTTTTATATCTAAGCACATTCCTGCGCAGTTACATTTTGGCTTCTGCCTCTTCTCTAGCTTCAGACCATAAAGGACTTCAGGCAACATCAATTTCTCTTTTACTTTATTTTCTTCCATAAATTATTAACTTTCATTAAGTCTCTAGAGTTAAACCTTGTTTCAGAGAGCATTACGGAGGAAAAAAAAAAACCAACACAAAGGAAGGAAAAGCATCTCAATATTTAGACTGCAATTTTGTATTCATTTGTTTATAATCACAGTGCAACCAATTTTTATTTGTTTCTTTGGCATTAACATAAAAGCATGATTAAGTAGCTTGTTTACAGAACTGCAGCAAGATCTGATAAGATTTTTTTTTTTTTTTTTAGTATCGTTAACTAGCAAACAGTTCTAGCTCCACGGGACTTAATGAGCTAAAAAGTCTAAGATGCAAGATGAAGAAGAGAGATAAAGGCAGTTAGAGCAGGCAGAATGAAGACAACACGTCTGCTCAGTAATTAAAGCTCTATTCCAAGGGGAAAATTTTAAGACAGAATAAGTTCAACTGAAAGAGAAGTAACAACAGAACATCAAAGGACTGAATAGATGAGGGGAAGGTCAAGAAAGAAGTATAAAGCAAAGCAGAAAGATATCATGGGAGAAGGGAAACATACAGCCCCGCCACCACCTGATTTACTGCAGATCTGTGAACCACCACAGGCCCCCGAAGCACCAGGCTGGTACTCCGGGCTATTTCCCACCACCACCACATGATGGAGGGAAGGTACATCTGGGCCCTACAGCTGGCTATGGATCAAACAGCTGTTAGGTTCCAGCCAAACCCCGTTTCAACTCCTCCTTTGCATAGAACTGGCTACTTTCACTGGTTCCATCACACAAAAACTAGTAGAAAACTTTCTCATACAAACATAGTCAACAGTGTTAGACCAACACTGGATTACAAGCACAAAAACAATGGAGAGGATGCACTCAGATGAAGAGAATACTGATACATATATCTAACAATGTATTAACACTATCTAGTCACAAAAATTGTTTTCATACTGGGTTAGGGAACACATTAAGAACAGCTGATCTGAGCTGTGCTATGTTAATGCTATCCTTGTTTTTCTTAATTTAATACTTTTTGAAACCACAAAGGTGCATCTCTAAAACATCTGTGTCAGGAAATACTTAAAAGTTCACAGAAAACTGTCGTAATTCCGAGTAAACCTCACGTCCACAGCCAAGACCCAATCTCCATCTATAAACACAGGAAGCGGTCATAGAACAGCTGAGGACCAAGTGCCAGACCCGACACGTACCAAAAGTGTTGCTCCTTAGTGAAGTGGGAGCTGGGAGCAGGGTTTGCGTCAGGGTAATCTTAGCCAGAACGCTCTGGCATTAGGAATAAGGATCAAATCTGCCTCAGTATATGATTCCAAGTCAAACATCTGTGGCTTCCCGAGATGTTCAAACACTGCATGGCAACGCACAAAACCAGAACAGCTGCCTCAGGGTGGAGGACAACTTTTACAAATGAGCAGTCTCCCATACTCTTCATGCTCCGTAACGAGGACTCTCAGGAATGTGTTTCTCTCCTCTGCTGTTCCTCCTCTCCTCCACTCCCCCCTCCCAAAACACAGTTCAGTTTGCTAGATACAGCTTCCTGCACAGCCGCATCTGCAATGCAGGAGGAATACAGGAGATGATGGAAGAAAACGCAAGACCTGACTTAGCAACCTTTTTAAGTGAGGATAATGTTCCGCTTAATATCTTTATCCAGTTCTCTTTAATACCTTTATCAATGATTTGGACGAGGGGATCAAGTACACCCTCAGTAAGTTTGCAGATGACGCCAAGTTGGGCAGGAGCATTGATCTGCTGGAGGGTAGGAAGACCCTACACAGGGACCTGGACAGGCTGGATCATTGGGCCGGGGCCAACTGTATGAGGTTCAACAAGGCTCAGTGCTGGGTCCTGCACTTGGGTCACAACCACCCCATGCAACGCTACAGGCTTGGGAAGGAGTGGCTGGAGAGCTGCCCAGCGGAAAAGGACCTGGGGCTGTTGGTTGACAGCTGCCTAAACATGAGCCAGCAGTGTGCTCAGGTGGCCAAGAAGGCCAACAGCATCCTGGCTTGTATCAGAAATAGCATAGCCAGCAGGACTAGGGAGGTGACTGTCCCCCTGTACTCGGCACTGGTGAGGCCGCCACCTTGAATACTGTGTTCAGTTTTGGGCCCCTCACTACAAGAAGGACATCGAAGTGCTGGAGCGTGTCCAAAGGAGGGCAACGAGGCTGGTGAAGGGTCTAGAGCACAAGTCTTATGAGGAGTGGCTGAGGGAGCTGGGGTTGTTTAGCCTGGAGAAGAGGAGGCTGAGGGGAGACCTTATTGCTCTCTATAACTACCTGAAAGGAGGTTGTAGCGAGGTGGGGGTCGGTCTCTTCTCCCTAGTAACAAGCGATAGGATGAGAGGAAACTGCCTCAAGCTGCGCCAGGGGAGGTTTAGGTTGGATATTAGGAAAAATGTCTTCACCAAAATGGTTGTCAAGCATTGGACCAGGCTGCCCAGGGAAGTGGTTGAGTCCTCATCCCTGAGGGTACTTGAAAGACATGTAAATGCAGTGCTTAGGGACATGGTTTAGTGGTAGACTTGATGATCTTAAAGGTCTTTTCCAACCTGAACGATTCTATGATTCTGTTCTATGATTCCGATGTCACCAGTTACCTAGCCCAGCATACAGAAGGAAAGATGAACTCTCTGGTGTCCATCACAGCACTCCCCTTAAGTGACCAGGGAAAGACTTGCTTCCAGGTTAAGGTACTATGGGACTCCAAGAATCCCAGGAACCAAACAGAAAGCTAAACTCTCCTCTAGGAAGAGAATCGGTCACTTTTAGGCCACGAGCTGCAGACACGTACTAAGGAAATAACTTAGTCTGGACTAAACCACTACACACTGCTGACTGTAATGCCAACTGCACTGTGGCCATAGACAAGCGTCTGCTTGGCCTGTTTACTCTTACAGTGTCATAGATGCAAATGGTCAATGCTTTTAAAGTCAGCTGTTCTTCAAACGATATCTAACTGCCATCAAAGCCACATCCTGCCTTTACCCTTTCGCTCATTTGTCATGTTCTAACCTGCATTTTCAGACTGCGCTCCTGAAAGTCAGGAGGCTGGAATCAGCAGTCATTATAAATTAGCTGCTGACAAACAACCAATTGGAGAAGTCAGAGGTGTTATGGATAATTAACAATTAATTATTGTTAATTCTAGAATTAGCACATCCCACTATAAAAAATATTCAAAAGAATGAAAGCCCATTAATAAAGTATTTTACTGTAGTTTGGGATTATTTTTTTTTTATTTTAATTGAGGAAAGTTTAAAGCCTAAATCTTAGATTCAGCTCTTGAATATACTTTCAGAAAAACAGGAACAAGTACACAAAATAAACTCCTATTCCGACGGGGACTTTTGAATATATTAATGTATTTGGACTCATAAAATGGGAATAACAGATTCTCACCATCACAGTTTCAATAATATTACTGCTAAAGTCTTGTCTTCAAGTCTTGGAAAGACACCGCTCTCCTACTTGCACATATTCTAT